ATGATCTTTCTCTTAGAGACGTATGTTTCAATGTGACGCCCACTGGAACTTCACTTAAAGTTAAACGCTGCATAATGCTATGAAATCTGCTGTTTCCACAATGAAAACATTTCCAAGAAAATAGAATAAATAGACATTTGAAAGTTTGTTGAGTTATTGTCTATAGTGGTTATAGAGGGATTCAGTGTGAACACAAAGCTTAGTTCATTTAAAACCAAACAGCCTCCATTAGTAAATCTATGTGGTCCAATAAAAAACAAAAAAAACGGCACAAACATCTCTAAAAGAATAAAGAATATAAAATATAATACTTGCAAACACACATTAGAGAAGTCTTAGTAAAAAATAACTGTCTTAATTTTGTATTTATGACATTTATAAATCATTAAACACATGAATAGGCAGAAATATTTCTATTGTGAAGATTCAGGAAATAAACATGGGAATGTAAAATATTTCTGGTATATTAGCTTTTATTTTATTAAGCTTTTACTTTGTAAGGCTGCAAATAAACTTCTGGTTCTGACAGCGCAGGTCTGCAGCTAGACATTCTTTTTTTTTGCCTACCGTATATTAATGCTTGTTTTCCTTGTATCAGTGGATAAATGAATGCATTAGTTTGCTGATTCATTAGTGCATTCAGCAGTCATGCATTTAGATCACTCCAAGCACATAATTCCAGCTCCCTCCCATTGCTATGCGTTATTTTCTTGACATTTTGTTCATATTTTAGTTTTAATCATCTAAACGGGGGGAGAGACAGAAAGCAAGCAAAAGGAAGAGATAAACCCAAAAAATCTGCAGCCCCAAAAACCGCTGTTCTGTCAAACCAGCATAACTATAGTCAGTACGCATGCAGACGACGTTAGATTTGCATTTATCCTTTAGTTTTATACCAAAAATAGACTCTAAACTTCCTCAACGGGCATGTATCCCTGTATGTATGTAATGTACAAAAGAAACAAAAAACTATTTAAGGTCAGATTGACATACGCTTCAAAAAACACCAAAAAGTCATTAAATAGATTTTTTGTACATGACTAAAGGGATAGACACCAGTTGAGGTAGTTTAAAGATTATTTTTCATACAAAACTAATGGGATAAGCAGGTATTTACTATGGGTATAACTACGGGAACACCGGCAGCACATTAAAGGATCGGTTAGACTGAAATAATCTGTTTTAAAGGAAACACGAAACAAACTGTATCAGCTGATCTCTGCTAATAATAGTTTAGAACTGAAAGTTGTTATTACAGGAACCTGAAGGTCTGTAAATCTAAAATAATCCAGAGGAGACGACTGCACTAGCACCTAAAATAATTCTGGCGTGTGGATCCGATACTTCAAATTAAGAAGCACTGAAAAACTACTACTAACCGCCAGACAGATATAAATACATCAGTGAGTTAAACACTGTTTAACACATGAAGTATGATTGTTTTCAAAAGAAATCTCTCTTTAAACAAAGAGAAGCTGCTGATCTTCAAAGCAACAAGCCAGCTTTGCTAAAGGCAGCAGGTCTGCTGGAGCAGCAGCCATCGCAGATATCAGAGTGACTGCAGGTGGAGCAGCAGCAGCTGCAGGCTGCAGGAGGAGCAGCAGCTGCAGGCTGCAGGAGGAGTAGCAGCTGCAGGAGGATCAGCAGCCATCTCAGATATCAGAGTGACTGCAGGTGGAGCAGCAGCAGCTGCAGGCTGCAGGAGGAGCAGCAGCTGCAGGAGGATCAGCAGCCATCTCAGATATCAGAGTGACTGCAGGAGGAGCAGCAGCAGGCTGCAGGAGGAGCAGCAGCAGCTGCAGGCTGCAGAAGGAGCAGCAGCCATCTCAGATACCAGAGGGACTGCAGGAGGAGCAGCAGCAGGCTGCAGGAGGAGCAGCAGCCCTCGCAGATATCAGAGTGACTGGAGGAGCAGCAGCCATCGCAGATACCAGAGTGACTGCAGGAGGAGCAGCAGCTGCAGGAGGAGCAGCAGCCATCTCAGATA